AGGTTGATGTCTCTCACATCTGTGGGAGTGCTGGCCTGGTCCAGTTCATCCACCATCTTAGAAGGATTGCTTTGCTGTTGCTGCTGCTGGACTTGCCTAAGGTTGCTTACTAGCACCGACTCTATCTGTTCTTGGCAGGCTTTAAGGCAGTCCTAGAGAATAGGAAGCAAAGTGATCTGTTAGTGAATCTTTTCCCACTGTGCCAATCAAAGCGTCAAGACAAGCAAAAATGAGGAAAACCAAGATGTTCAGAGGCTATATGAATGGAAATGATGCATTCACCCTAGAATCGTGCTATGAAGAGAAACAGGCTGCACGTCACTAGAAGCAGCCCACGTATGCAGTCCTTTGGGTGGACTAAAGCAAATACCACATTTGTTACAATCTTGGCAACTCATAATTCTAACTTTCCTGCAAGAAAGTAGTGCCTTTTGGATCAGGAACTCAATGGTATTCATTGGCAATCTCCTGCAGGACAGGTATAAATCCAAAGGCAGGACTATACCTATCTATGCAGTAGCTGCTGCATTCCCTCTGCAGGGCAAAATGTATATCATCCCTGTGCAAGAAGAAACATGCCTTTAATAAAACCAATGTTTTTGTAATGGTCCAAAGTACTACATCTTACAGCACTGCAATGAAGTGGGCCGTTACGATAGAACACTGAAGTATTTTCTTTAGAAGGGTCAGCAATGAAGAGGTAAAAAGGAGATGCCCCTAAGCTCAGAGAATCTGTACCCAGACTCTCAAAAATGTAATCCTGCCTCCAAACACTGCTTGACAGTTGGGCCTCATAAAAGACAACCCTGGTAGAAACAGGACAAACGCAGTTAGGAAGCAACCCACCAGACAATCCAAGACACAGAGCACCAAGACCATTGTCAGCAGTTTGCACGGACCATCTTCCACCCATGGAGCAAATTCAAATTCAAAGAACCAAAATGATTCCAACAACAGGGGAAAGAGCAGGCCAAAGCTAGGACACTTATGTCTCACTGAAACATTCAGGCATTCAGGGTGCAGGCAAAATTAAAATAGCAATAATCAACAATACAGTAGAACCTCAGAGTTACGAACACCAGAGTTACAAACTGACCAGTCAACCACACACCTCGTTTGGAAGTAGAAATACACAATCAGGCAGCAGCAGAGACAAAAACAAAAACACCACCACCACCATCCCCATAATAAACAAATACAGTACAGTATTGTGTTAAAGGTAAACTACTAAAAAATAAAGGGAAAGTTTAAAAAAAAAAGATTTTAAAAGGTAAGGAAACTGTTTCTGTGCTTGTTTCATTTAAATTAAGATGGTTAAAAGTAGCATTTTTCTACTGCACAGTAAATTTTTAAAGCTGTCTTAAGACAATGTTCAGTTGTAAACTTTTGAAAGAACAACCATAACGTTTTGTTCATTTGAACATTTCAGAGTTACGAACCTCCATCCCCAAAGTGTTTGTAACTCTGAGGTTCTACTGTAGTAATATCGGAAAACTACAAATATCAATAACCATGTTTCTGTCATAGACTTCAAAGCACTTTATACAGAGGATTAGATAAGTATCATTATTCCCATTTCACAGACTCGGAAATTGAGGTACAGAGCTGAAGTGGTTTGCATCAGGTCACACACGGAGTCAGTGGTCGAGTCGGGAACAGTATAAAGTACTGCAGTACAGTGGATCAAAGCAGGGCCTATCTGGGAAGCCCCCTCACCCTCACCCACATAGTGGCAACCAGTGGAGTTTGAAGTCTGCACACAGGTATGCTTCATCCCAGGCCTGCAATGTACATGTGTTGTCCCAGCCTGACTGGGAAAGCGTAAGTCATGTCTGGGCATGTCCGCTCCATTTGTGTGCTTGATACCATTTGTGCTGGTGTGATTATTCCAGGGGATAAAATTCATGCTGTGCCAGGAATACCACTTTTTGTTGGACCCTGGAGACTCAGTGCTAGCAGTAAAGTCACACCCTCTCTCTGTAAAGAAACTACCATGCCTATATGGTGGAGCACCATTCCCAAACATTATTTGTACATGTAGATATACCAGCAAAAGAGTACAAGGGGATGGTTTGTTATGCTGATTCGATACAAGGAAGAGTGGACTGGATGAGACATTAGTCCTATCATGAACAAGAAACTTACCAAGGATATGGAGGCCACTATCCAGTTCTAGCATCAGTCAGCTAGGTACAGATCATGGCAGTACCATTAGAGCATCAGTAACAAGAGGCTAGTTCATCACTATTGCCTAGGCAAAACTGGACCAGGATGGTGTCGTATTTTCCAGCTTAACAGTCAGAATCAACTGTTTGTTCCCTTATCGAGAATAACATTGATCAATACCATTGTCAGATCACTAGCAGAGAGCAAGGCAATACATGAAATCTGTGCTGCAGTGTCATGTCCATGTGATGTGCAGTGGGTGGATTGTTACTTCTCTGTGTTTGTCATAGCTATGTGCCTCTTTAACCCATGGCTCTGTGCTCCAACAAAGCCCCAACAAAGATCGGTGAGACTGATATTAAACTCTTAACAATAGGTGAAGAAAGTGGTGATTCCCATAGTTCAATTTGCTTAAAACTTTCCATTATAAGCCACTGCTTTCAGCTGCTTGTAACTTTGCCAAACTTCTATCCCTTGGGCTGAAATTTTCCATGCTTACTCTCTGTCTCAGGCTGACCTGATCTGGGAAAATTTAATCAAATACAGCTCTGCCATTTCCAAGAATGAGACTAGGGAAAGCAGGTAGTTTGACAATAAAAAAAATCCCAACAGTTTCTCTGAAGAGCTCTAGCACCTTCACGATTTGGAGTAGGACCTTCCAATTTGGATTAGGAGAAGTGTGGGGTCAGGTGCCATATGCTCTCCCCATGAACATGCACCCAGGCTTAACCAAGTTATAAGCCTCTGAAAATTGTCTTTTGCACATGCTCAGTAGAGCCCATGAGAGCCTTGCTGCTAAAAGCCCCAGAGAGCCCCCTAACATACCAACTACACTGAAACATGCCTCAGGAACAGAGCTAGAGCTCTGGATGTAATATGGATGTAACAGATAGAGTAGCTGCTGTTGTGGCCCCTCAGCCTAGGAGAAGGCAGAGATTAAAGTGTGGGGAAATGACATTCTCTTTGGCTTGAGGTGCCAACACTCACTATACTTGCTCCACTGGGGAGAAGATGTGCTGGGCATAAGGGAGAAACCATGAGTTCTAGTGTCATCTCTTTCACTTGTTGGTGTTAATAAGCCTGTGCACTTCACAGTCATTACTGAGCAAGGCCTCATACCCCTACCTTAAGGAGGCAGGCAACTACCATTCTCCCCATTTTACAGAAGGGGAACTAAGAGTTTACACAAGGTCACTTTGGAAAAGCTTGGCACAGAATTCAGGGACCAGATTCTAGGCTGTATGTCGCATGAAGTGCAGTGGGGACAACAATGTCTTTTAAGTCACCTTTGCACTATGCAGAATCTGGCCTGCTCTTTGGCATAAGTGTAGCCCAGGGGCAACAACCTTTCAGAAGTGGTGTGCCGAGTCTTCATTTATTCACTCTAATTGAAGGTTTCGAGTGCCAGTAATACATTTAAACATTTTTAGAAGGTCTCTTTCTATAAGTCTATAATATATAACTAAACTATTGTTGTGTGTAAAGTAAATAAGGTTTTTAAAATGTTTAAGAAGCTTCATTTAAAATTAAATTAAAATGCAGACCCCCTGTACCGGTGGCCAGGACCCAGGCAGTGTGAGTGCCACTGAAAATCAGCTCGCGTGCCACCTTTGGCATGCGTGCCATAGGTTGCCTACCCCGGTGTAGCCCTTATCATAAATTAGAGGAACCCCAGAGGCTGCTCTAGTTTATGGCAATCTGTCTAAAATAGTAATGTGCCCCTAATGACAGATATATTCACTCTGTACTGTGCTGATTATGAGACAACCCTCTAAGACGTACCTTAGCCTCAGAAGAAGGAGAGTGTACATCATGTATTCATTCCACAGCATATTCCTTTTAATTTCCTGGGGTCAGTTTTTCTTAGGACAACTAACCAGAATGTAATTCTTCATATGCGCTTTTCATGAAACACCCTTATTTCTGTCTCTCTGCATTCATACCCACACTCTGTGAATAGACCTGTTGTCCTCTGGAGATTCGAGGTATATTGTGGGCACAAACAACGAGTAACAATTTAAGTTAGCTAATACTCAGATGCACTGAGCAACCACAACTCCAGTTAAGTCGATGGGAGCAGGGGATGCTCAGCACCTTAGAAACTCAAGATAGTGTCTCAAGTTGGACACCTCCTCCCCCCCAAAAATGCAGTGCCTAAAGTGGGAGGTCGTGTCTAAAAATGTTGGCCTATATGACTTGCACTAGGCCACACAATGAGTCAGTGGCAATGCCAGGAATAGAATGCTGATCTCTTGACTCATAGTATAGTACCCTATCCACTGGACTACATGTACTGTCAGCACACTGGATCAGTCATTGAATGGACATGTTTCAAAATGCTAACTGCACTCCAACAACAGGTATTTGTGCACACTGTCTGTGCACCATACCAGAGCAAGAAGGCTTGCCCATAATCCTGTATTAAGAACTCATGTAGCAACCATGCCAGCAGGAGTTACTCATATTAAGACACTTAATTACCAAAAACACATTTTCTCTGGTTTTGGTGAATCTACAAAAGACTCTGATGCCTTATTGTAAAAGGAGTCCTGTAGTCTTCAGGAATTAAAGATTAATCATTAAAGATTATGTCATGTGATGAAACTTCCAGGAATACGTCCAACCAAAATTGGTGACCCTATGTCAGGCCTAAAATTAGACCTCCTACCAATTTCTTTGGTATGAGGTGCATTGTGCTGTCTATCCCTCCTTATTCTCTGCATACATGCTACATTCTTATCAGAAAGCAAGGGACTGAAACCTACTGGATTCCTGCTCTTGGAGAGATGTGAAGTTTGAATACCCAGCTTGCTAAGAATGGAGCAGGAAGATTGAAGTGAAGGATACTGTACATGTCACTGAGAAAAAGTAACTAAATACCCTGGATTTATTGGTGATGAGAGGTGAAGCAAAAAAATCTGGATTTTTTTACAATGCTGTATCCATTAGATGTTGGAGTATTTCTGTTGTTTTTTTTTGCAAGAGG